CTTGGCCAAAATATTTGCATACTATTCTATATTGATGTTATTGTCTACATGCATGGAGTAGTTATTGAGTAAATGCCCTAATAATAACAGAGAAGATAGCGTATAATCGGACAAACATGTACGAGTTGTTATTCTGGTCTGTATAGTTTGTTTAGGGCATTTTTTTTCGTCAAAACACACATACACAGCTGTTTTGTATGAAATAGTGTGATTTCGATATAATCTTTTTCGAAACAGATCAACGCTTTATTCAGATAATTTCTCTATACTTGGTGTAGAGTCATGCCTCGTCATGTGACAGAAGTTATAGAGCGTCAAATTGTTCGACTGTCAAGAAATGGTATGAAGCAAACGGACATTGCCAGAACAGTAGGATAACTATATCCAAAATCCTGAAAGGTCATCGGACTACAGGATACTTTGTTCTAGGAAAGTCTACTAGTAAACGCCGAAAAAACTACTACCCGAGATGATAGTGTTTTGATCAGGTCAACACGTCAAGGTCAAAAGAAGCCTTGCAAAACCTTATGAGGAGAACGGTATGAACACATACATTCCAGGTTATCCAGAAGAACAGTGAATAGGAGACTGACCGAACAAGATTATTTTACAATAAGGGTTATTTGGAAACCGATATTAACCAGAATTCACTTCCATCCTCGTGTTACTTGGGCAAGACAGCATGCCAACTTACAGTTAGGACACTGGCGACATGTCATGTTTCCGGCTTGTTAAAGCTGATTGTAGGATTCATGTTAGTCGTTTGTCTGGAGAACAGATGAGGGAAGACTGTCCTTCCGACAGGGAATACATAGGAAATGGTACCGTACATGTTTAGGGAGCTCTTCATCATGTTGTAAAACTGCTCTTCATATCCTCCAGGGAAACGTCAGTGGCGCCTCTTACATACATCACATGGAGATGATAGTTCTGCAATATGCTAGGGCAAGGTTTGGCAATAACTTTGTGTTCTAGGATGACAATGTCACTGCCCACAGTGCGCGTATTGTACACGATTATCTCTACAAGGAGAGTGTTACAAGATTGTCATGGCCAGCAAAGTCTGCAGATTGTAATCCTATTGAGAACTGTTGAGCAGAACTAAGCCGGGAATTTGCTAACCACGACCCCTAACACGGCTACTGAGTCGCAGCGCCTTCTAGTGACAAGTTTGGATGAAATCACGGTGGAGTACATCAATAAACTCATCGACAGCATGCCACGTTGCCTTGCAGAGATTATTAGAGTATAAATAGGACCAACGTAACTACTGAATGTTTAATTTGAACCAAAAGGAGGAAGTCTTTTGAAACGTCGTCCTCTACATTTATGTTTCTACAACAGGCAGTTGCCATCCATTCAACTAAATTTCATCATGATACTCTGCCTAAATAATCTATCAAAGAATGTCATAGGACATAACGAATTTGAAGGTTCTGGAGATGAACAAGTATCTGCGAAAATGGAATACTGTCATAAAGGTCTTTAGTAGGACTAGGTAACTGGACGTGAAGTGTTTATCCGAAAGGAAGACGTCCCAAGATCTGTAAACGAAGATAAAACAAACAAGGAACAGAAATCTGTGCAATATGACAATAAGTAAGACAAGTTCGAATGTATAAAGATGTAAAGTGGTGTTTAAACCCCAGGAGGTATCGGACAGGCAGCGAAGAAGCTTAAGTCGAGAGGTGATATTGTTAGTCAAATATACTGGATACGCTTTCCTGTAAAGATGCTTGTCAAAATTATCTCCATGATATTTCACAGTCTCAGAGAATTTGAGAGGCACATTCTCAACTTGAACACTAAATATAAATGAGTAACGATATTTTCGGAACTTGTTTCGCGTAGAGCAAAATAGAATAGTTTGTTTTTATTGACATTAATGGTAAGCACCAGAGGCGACTTCATATCACGAACTTATTGACAGCAGCTTGTATGATCCTGTTAGAGTAATCATCGTCTTGCAAGTAAGTGGTTAGCAGAACAATACAGTGAGATAATGGTACATTGTTGAAAGATGGAAGGACAGACACTGACTTGAGAGCAAGGTAAAATGATACACTGAATTATATAGAATAGACTGCGAGTGAAAAACCTTTTTAAAAATTTTGCTAGGAATGCTAGTAAGACAGATAGAACGATAAGATTCAATATTCACTGGAGACTTAGAAAAGTAGAATAGTGGATTTCTTTCAAGAATATGAGTAAAAGCCAATTCGAAGAAGGAAATCAAAAAGAAAAATGACTAGAGGAAGCAGGACTCGCGCTCTGTGGCGTGTCGAAAATGAGATAAGTCAATCCATCCGGACCAGAAGGCATGTCAAAAATGAGATAAGTCAATCCATCAGACCAGGAGGCGTGTCGAAAATGAGATAAGTCAATCCATCTGGACCAGGAGGCGTGTCGCGTCTACTTTTAAGAGCTAGGTGAATATCCTGAACTATAAGTGGAGCATTCAGAGAGTATTCTACGATATTATAATCTAGAATCCAGGACTGAGGGATCAGTTTGAAAAAATATATCTGAACAATCCTTGTAATCCAAAGGGTGTTGATTTGGAGCTTGAAAATGGGATTTGAGAAAAGAGGCAAATGCATTAACCTTGTCAATGGAGTAAAGAAGTTCTTCGCTACTGACTAGTATTGGGTAGGATGTAGTGGTACGTTGTCTTGCCAGAAAGTTAAATTGTTCCCAGTATTTTGAAGTGATAGGAGAACTGCCGAAATATTACAAATCCCAATGATGTCGTTTTACCGCTCGTACAAGATTACAGGAAGCTTTGTAGACAACAAGAATGGTGCAGAATCTAAGGATCGTGAAAATGGCGACAATTCTGTAGCAGCGACGAAAAAATAAACGAAAATTCATAGACCGACGAGGCATCGCTGGTTTATATTGTGTATAATATGAAGTAGTGAGATGTAGAGATTAGCAGGAATGGGAAAAGATTCCAGGTTGTGGGGCACAAAAGTGTTGATCCGTGCAGGAGATGAGATGCACCAGAAACCATTGAGACGCTATTTACATTAGCAAATTACTTGACAACAACTGTTGTGTTGGGAATAGGATTAAGTTGGTGCACTGCAATTTTTCATTAAAATTAAGGTACGGCCTGTTTTAACTCTATATTATTTAATTATTCTAACACTATATACGTTATTAATTATTTTCTTGAATTAACTTGCTTATTATTCAGAAGAACAAACGAATCAGCAATGTTAAGAGGATTTTGTCACTTGTACAATCTATGATTATCATGAAAAACTTGATTTCTTTTAACCCTCAAATTACCGTTCACTATCGGTGGGGTCCAGTTATTGAGTAATTTTATGTCCTTGCCTTTTACAGCTTCCAGTATAAAAAGCTGACTAAAACAATGGGTCAAATCATTTATTTTCTATGTAAAATGTATAGAGGGTCCACAGTAACCAACAAAAACGGAGACCTGTTAGCAGTTTGATGCATTAATAGTTTGAGAAAATATGTTTTAAAAACCGAAATTAATAGTCCACCATTAGTTTTTGGTTTAACAATTAATACAGATATATATAGACACAAAAATACACACACATGTTGTTGTTTTCTTACTGCAGAGTTACGCAGTAGACTAACTGCACTCTCTGCACTATGGAGAATCGAACCCCTGATTTTTTGACAAACCAGGGGATATATATAAAATTAATAAAATTACCGGTTCAATAGTTTATTACTATTACACTTAACTAAAAAACTACTTATAAACGCCAACGGTTTACTTGTTAATTTTCTGAGTGATGCTATTTCATAAAACTGACTTCTTCGTACTCTCGATTTACACAATTTTTTTACAGTTGGGAGCTTTAATAAATATAAGTAATGGATTTATTGGCGTAAGTGTACCATGTTTGTTTGAAAAGTGCTCTGTAGAAGCGCTTTCAGTTGTAATTTTAACATTGCGTCAAAGTGTTTAGGAGAACGGTCACTTTTGTATAGTCTTTATTGTAAGGATTTCGATTATTCTTCTGGGAGTTAGACTTCAGATGAATTTCAACTAAAGTAGTATGTGCAAATTTTAATACAAAAAATTCACTAGAAAATAATGAATAAAAACCCTATAACCCGAGCGCTTTCGAAAGCTGGACCTTTCTTCTTCAGGGGTAAAATAAGATGTTTTTTAATTGTCTCAATTGTCTCGAGATAGAAATTCATGCCTAGATAACACGGTGAAACTTCATCACTAAAAACATTTGCTAAACTAATCCCATACTTGGCTTTCTGCTATAAAAAATGTGTAAAGGAACCGGATAAGAACCTGAGTACATCCGCTGAATTACGTAAACCAATGAGGACCTTAGTTTTCAGTAAACTGCCACCGATAGTGAGGAAAAGTGCGTGCACATAGATGGAAGACTGTTATAAGATTTCATATAGAGATATGTGTAGCTTTTTTAATGATAAAATTATTCTATCCACAAGTACATGAACATTAGAATATTGAAGCGCTCAAGCATCATTTGTTGCAGGAAAAATACATAAATTCGTTTTAGTATTGAGCTGAAAGGTTTGGGTGATAAAACATATGGAATCGTGAAATATTGTTGTTGTTGTTGCTGCTGCTGCTGTTTTAAAACATTCCGAAATAAAAATAATCCCGAAAAAACTATTTCTCTGCTGAAGAGAAAATAATGTTCAGAGCTTATGGTGCGGAATCGATCCATTATTAGAAATGTTGCTTTTAGAAGCTAGAAGCCATCTTATCACCTTAACAGAAGCAAAAATTAGCGGCTGTGTTTCAGCAAGAATATGAAATTGTTGCAATATATATTCACTAATGCAACCATTACGTTGTTTAACTACTGAAGTATAGTACAGTTTTCGAATAAACATATTTCTACCATCCACTAAGTTTGATGAAAAATGATGCAATTCAAAAATAAATTTTACGAATAAATGAAAAGTTAAGTTATACGTGTTAACTTAAAGTTATTTGCAACTATGAAAAGAAAGATTTTACTTACATGGTGAATCCGCTCCAGTTGCCATCCTATCAGAGAGATTAGAAACACAAGCGTCACAACATACGCTTTCAACTTCAACTGCTCTTACACTCTGGCCTGATTTATAGATAGCAGGTCTACCACACCCTACATTGGATCATGGGCACAACTTTTAGAATTAGTCTAACTCGATGCATTTAAAGTATCAAATCATTTCTGAAGGTGTTCGAGCATTTATAAAATTGTGAAATGTATTTTGAAAATTTCTTATATATATATATATATTTAAAATCGTATTTTACATATTTAGTAGCGTAGAGGGCAGCACTTTCTAGATATGCTTGTTGGTAATAGATACAGTCATTGGAATGTAAAAAACAATGTTAAAAACATATCTAGCAGCGCTATCTACCCTACTTGTAAATTTCTGAAAGAAAATCTGGATGAAATTTCGCACATTCATTTATAAATTAGTGGTGAAATTAGACTAATTCGCCAATATTAGTAAACATATATATAAAAAGTAAAATATTTACTGGATACTTCTTTCTACACATGATTATAATAAAAAAAATAAAAAATATATAGAAAGATATATTATGCTACAAAAATGTTTAAATATTTTTTCTGAAAATGATAAAGAATTAGGAAATATTTTTTTTATGAAATGATGAAGGTGAATTATTACCCCCTGCCTTAAAATACAGGTTATTTTTTTTATTGCAGCTGTACAGTTAATTAGGTTAGTCTTCTTCCTGTAAAATATGTATATGTTGATGATACTAAAATGATGAACATGAGTTTATTTGATCTTCAGGAAAAACTTTGTGAGGCTTAGTTAAACTAAATTACTCTGTAATGTGCAAACCCAATATACTTTAAATGGTATATTTACCAAACGGGGAGTCTGTTTGTTTTTTAGCGCAAAGCTACACAATTAACCATCTGCGTTCTGACCACCATGAGGAATCGAACCCAGAATTTAGCTATGTAAGTCTATAAACATACCACTGGCCCACTGCGGTACCTAAGTAGAAATAATTTGAAAGATAATTTTTAGAAAGGTTAATGGATTGAAAATCGCAGTTTTACGGAGAATAGATCAAAACAATGAAGTCTTATTTAAAATCTTAAGTGTATAACGGAGTAATAATTATTTGGTTAATGTCATTTCGATTTTCACAAAAACTCCCAATAACTCTTTCCTAGGTAGATAAAAAAGACATAAGATATGAGATTTGAGTATAAAATTATAGCAACAAGGTTTAAGAATGCGTGTATTTGTTTAAAGATGAACTATCTATCTTTTAAATTTTTATTCCATTTCATTTTCAACGATCGAAGTTCATGTTCTCCTCTTTCTTTATATTTTCACAACTGAAGATGTATTGACAGAGTGCTTACCTTACTGTTAAGAACTGGTATTGTTAGCTTAATAGTAAGAGGTTCTAACATCCTGTGGTAAATTCCTCCAGAGAATGGAAAATGACGTGAAAAATACTGGAGATAGGCAAAGCATCACAGTTGATTAGATAATGGTTAGTAAATACTACTTGTGCTGAATAAAAGAACACTAACGCTAAAACCTATAACACCTGCTTATCTGTCTGGTTATAAGTGGAGCTGAATACCACAGCTTCACAAGAGTTATCTGTACGAGGCATTCCTAATATATAATTGACAAGACCAGATGAAAAATAGCTAGTCAACAGTACCCACTACTAACTCCTGGGATACTCTAATGGAATAGTAAGATTTGGCCGTCACTCTTATAACACATTCACATCCCTAAAGTGCGGATCGCAATTTTGCGGCAAAGAGACACGAACCATGGATATCTCAAATTCATAATCCCCTAGTCACTATAGGTCACAACCGTACGATGTGCTTTTCAGCTTCCCAGTGCATCTGTCTCCCAAAAAGTACATGTTTCGAACATATAGTATGTGCTTCGATGTTTGAAGTATATGGTTGAGCCCTAAAACCAGCTGTTTTAAAAAATGTTTAATTCAAAAGTATGTATTGTTTGTTTGTTTTGAATTTCGCGCAAAGCTACACGAAGGCTATCTGCGTTAGCCGTCCCTAATTTAGCAGTGAAAGACTAGAGGGAAGGCAGATAGTCATCACCACCCACCGCCAATTCTTGGGATACTCTTTTACCAACGAATAGTAGTATTGACCGTCACAATATAACGCTCCCACGGCTGAAAGGACAAGCATGTTTGGTAGAACGGGGATTCGTACCCGCGACCCTCAGATTGCGAGTCAAGCTGATCATGCTGGGCCAAAAAAAAGTATGTAAGGATTCATAAGTTACATGTTTTAGATATGAACAAGTCCTTATTTTACTGTTATTTTGGTTTTTAATAATTTGTCTGAAAATTATAATATTTAATTTTTGGGGAACTTTTTTTTCTGTGGTGTTTATGTAAAATACGAAGAGCCACGAAAAGAAAAAGAAAGCTTCATATTAATATGTTAGCTACCAAAAGCCATAAAAAATGTATTCTTTACAAAAATACGTCTTAAACAAATTGAGAGACAAAAGCTAGTGAAAGACATTTTTTGAGTTCCAATTCTAAAAAATATAAAAATAAGTGTTTTAAACAAGTATCCTTCATGCTTACCAGATGGCACCATAAAAGTGAACGTTCGTTTGTTTTTGTTCGTATTTTCCTGGAAACTGTTTTTGGTTCAGTAAACATTAGTTGAAGAAACTTTTTACATGCTTCTGAAAGAACTTTTATTCAATTTATGTCACATTGTCGGTTCAACTGTCCCTGTAAAATTTAGACATAATATCACAGCTTTTGGCTCCAAGGAAATAAGGATGTTTTATTATGTGGTAAGTAAAAGAAAAAGATGACACCAAAAAAATAAATGTTTGTTGTTGTTGTTTGCGCTGAACCCACCATAGGAATCAAACATCGAATTAACCTTCAAACTTACCTTTGAGCCACTGGAGTATGGGTGGGGGACTGATGGAAAATGACTTGTAGATATTTTCATATACTGAACAATTAAACTATAATAAACAGCCTGTTGCAGTCTCCACATCTAATCAGTGACTGTTTCAGTTGATGCTATTTTTATTATTTGTTTGGTCGTCTGTAAAAAGTTCACATTTTATATCAAGTTGTTATTTCCCCTGCACTTTTCATTTCGCAAATTAGGCATTCGAATTTCTAATTATTGTCGCGATCAAGTAACAAGAATATCACGTAACATAGATACATACTTCTCAGGCCATTCACATCCTATGTTTAGGGGTACACGTGTTTGTTCTCTCTTTTTTTCTTTTTTTTTACAAATACCATCAAGTTTAACTTGCTTATTCTTTCACTGTGTAAATTTGCAGATCATTAAACAATCATAGTTATACCAATAGTTTTCAATTATTATACAGTTATTATTAACTGAAACGTTGTTTGTTTTTTTTCGTCTGAAATTATCCTTACCCAGAAAAGGACATTTGAAACTAGCGTGGGAGAAAGGGGCGGAAAACATATCGTTAGAAGAATTAACTTTGAAATGGGGAGGGTCAAGGGGGAAGAGAATAGAGGAGCGGCCTCTCAATGGGGCTAAGTTAGATGGAGTGCTAACGTGTAGACCTGAACAGCCATTTTATGTCACAGCAACTGACAGATGACACTCATTTGCTTCCTTAGTTTTGCTTTAAGGAAATTGTATGCAACATTACGACTATTTCAGATAAAGGATTATCCTATGATATCTGGTAGAGCTGAGTACCGCATACATTATTTCTAAACAAAAAAAAAACTCATCAATGTGTTAAAATCTGTAATAGGAGTCACACAAACTAAATTCTTATACTGAATTTGGAAATAGATTTTCAGAAAAATTGTGTCTTTAATCGTATAGCCCCCACTGACGAGTTCTGGTATGGACCAAAAGGCTCCTTGGGCAGTGACTTGTGGGAGACAAAAGATAGATCTTAAATTCTATTTTTACACTCCTCTGGTTTCAAATGGGAAAGAGACAAAGTAAGAAGCACTGAAAAAATTGTTTTTACGTTATTTTTATTATAAATGTTAGGTGTATTGGTTCCCAATGCTTCGCCAGCTTTCGGCTTTTAAAACTCTCAATAGCCTGACCCCCAGGCAGTGACGTATTAAAGTTTTTGCCACCCCAAAGCTCATTCGGAAGTGATACCCCTGCACTCCGTGGACCGGATATAGACTCGACGAAGAGCTGTAAAATATTTTAAATATCTTGTTCTCAACACTAAAATACATACCAGTGAAGACATAAGCACAAATAAATTGCTGAGAGTGGAATTAAAAACTGAACATGTTTTAATGCAAAAAGAGTAGAGTTCAACTCAGTTGCAAAACATTTGTTTAGGTTTCGAGTTTACAATAGTAGAGGGGGCTATAAAGAGGTTCATATTTGATAAAGTTGTTCATTTTAAAACTTCACTGTATAGATACGTAGAATACAGCGGTAAATATATATATATGCCGCCATAGGCCTGGAGCTAGTCAGCCTGTGCGGAAATACGTCACAAACCTCAGGTGACTTAGTAGTAAGTCTAATGGCTTATAATGCAAAAAATCACTTTCGGAACACATGGTTGTGGGCACAGTACAGATAGCCCATTGTATAGCTTTGAAATTAACAACAAAATTGAAATCAAGTGCCTGAGTATACTTGTACTTTGACGTTACGTCTAAAAGATAAATGTTTCTCTGTATTATTATGGTAGTTTAAAGTTTTATTATGTGCTTCTGATTAAACGTTATTGTAATTTGTGGCTAAGAACATTTCAAATACAAGGTAACTTGAAGAAAAAAACATTTCATACAGAGGTGTCAAACCTTTATTTTTTTTGAGTGGAGGAGGAGGGCTAAGAGTTTACTTATTATACAAAAATTAATAGTTTTTCTAATGAAAAACAAACACAGAAAAATATCGAATTCCTTCTATATTCTTAATCAGTTTTATTAATGCCTGAAAAAATACTAATAAGGAAAATATTCCTTTTCATTGAATACTTTCTCTTTAAAGGTATTTTGTCCAACTTTCTAAGTATATAAATAAGCATGAAATTGCTTGTACTTTTCTCTTCGTGATATCATTATTTTACTCCAGGCTATCAGTCAAGTGTAGAGTCAGATATAGCACAAATG